CTCCCTGGGCAGTTTGGTTATTGAGAAGAAGTTGTTTAAAGTTTTTAACATATTTGACCCCTGTGACCTTGAAAATAGATGAAGGTCATTTATTTGAACAAACTTGGTAGCCCTTCATCCCAGTTTGCTTCTGGCCAAATATCATCACCCTAGGCCTTTCAGTTATTAAGAAGAAGTCGTTTAAAGTAAAATATTGACGCCGGACGACGGACGGACGACGGACGGACGGACGGACGACGGACGCCGCACCACGGCATAAGCTCACTTGGCACTTCGTGCCAGGTGAGCTAAAAATGTAGAGGAAATGAAAGAATTCTAAATGAAAGAGTAAATTGATTTTTTATCTTGTCAAACTTAGATGGCAGCTATAGGAACAAGAAATGTCGGCCAGACAGACATACAATAAAACCTCTTTATACTGTCGTTTTTCCAAAGATTTTTTGCGTTATAAAGGGGTTTGGCGATAAATGGAGAGAAAAGTACAAAAGAATTCTTAAAAACCCCAGAAAAAGGGACATTGTAAGGAGTTGGCAGTAAACAAGGTGGCAAATAAAACAAGGGGCGTTATATATTGAGGTGTTTTCTGTATGTAAAATGTTCCTTCTGTCATGTGAAATAATTAGTTTCATAGTTTGACCATTTTCTATAAATAGTAACAGCAACTTTGACCCTGGCACCCTGAAATATGAACTCTTTTAAGATATTTTCTCATAGTCGGACATGTTGATAATTTTAATCAAAACCTGTTAAGAAATTGAAGTGCTGTGTTGATGTAACTGTTATTGCTGATTTTCTTTTAATATTTTTTTTCAACATATTCCAGAAGCAAGAAGATCAAATACATCACAAAAGATACAAGTAATAAGTATTAACAACTCTCATCAGTAGGGTAGCACAAAAATTACATTTTTCCATTTTGCTTCTTTTTTTTTTTTATCAAAACCTGTTACAAGCCAAGATGACATTGATATATGGTGATGACACAAAACATGTTGAAGATCTTCTACGGCTTTTAAAAAAAAATATCCCAAAAGCAATATGTATCTCAAAAATATACAAATATATCAATTAAATAAATATCTAACTACTTTCTTCAGTAGCATAAAACTTACATTTTTCCGTTTTGCTGACATTTTTCTGCTGAATGCCCTTCACCTTGACCGAGAGGTTGGGAGTCTTTTTGCCCTTGTTGTCAATACGGTCTTTGTAAACGGGATCGTTCAGGTCCAGGAACTTGTAAACCTTGAAAGCATTATCTCCCTTGCGTACGCCTAAGTCGCGCAGTTCTATTACATCCGGTAGACTGTTGAGCGCACAACGGAAGTTGGCCTTCCATCGCTTGTGGTTCCCTTCATAATGGCGACCTGCAACACGACCTGTTCGTCGTTAAAAATTTCAGGATGGCCAGACTTCAAATAAGTTTATCTGTTTATATATATATATATATTAAAACATTAATATTTTCAGTGTATCCAGACAAAATATATACTTTTTTACTTATAAAGATTTAAACTATGACATTGTAAGGGCTTTCAATTTCACTAGCCTGACACCCCTGGATCTATTTACGAGTTCATAATATAAGAAGTACTGAATACGTATACCCGGAAACTTTTGCCCAGACAAATATTGGCCCTTTTCCTATAAAATTAGACTGGCTACCAGTCCCTAAGTTTTTATGAAGAATTCTCAACTGCATTTTACTACTAGCTTATCTCCCCCTTGTTTAGATCAGACGTCCAAGTGATCAAAACTGTTATTAGAATGACTTTTTTTTCTAAATGATTCAATATTCTAGAGATGGGGGCCAGTTAGTCCGAATTATTCTGACGTTTTATCGACATTTTTCATATCGGTCTGTCGTCGATTAACGTCAGAATTCCGGCCCTCTATAATATGCGGGAAATATGCGACCCACGCCCAGAGCGCACTTCAAACTGATATTTTTGAAACAAATCGTCACTTTCACACACATGTCGCACATGGATCGAAAGATCTATTCTTTATGCACTAGGTGGCATCAATAACATGTTTCAAAGATCATTACGAAAAGTATTTTCCAACGTTTTCTATACCAACCAATGTTTTTAATGGAAATAAGGCTATGAGCAATGTCACATGACTTGACGAGATCTCGCGTTACCGAAGGTATTTCCCAACGTTATGACGTAGGCCGGCAAGATTTTAGTCACGTGGCATTAGAAGGCGGGCGCTATCAAAAAACTATAGTAAAACAGAGTAAGTTTGAAAAATATGTTTTTAGTGATTGTATTGGTTGTTTGAGGCATGTTATGTATGTTCATCTTGTGCATAAAGAATAGATCTTTCGATCAATGTGCGACATGTGTGTGAAAGTGACGATTTGTTTCTAAAATATCAGTTTGAAGTGCGCTTCGCATATTTCCCGCATATTATTATAGAGGGCCGGAGTTCTGACGTTAATCCACGACAGACCGATATGAAAAAAGTCGATAAAACGTCAGAATAATTCGGACTAGAGGCCAGTCTTCTTTAAAATCTATGTTCGCCCAGTTTTAATTTCGCTCTTCATTACTGTATTTGCTTGCTGTGAACTAAGAATAACTGTCATGATAAAATATTTGAAGAAGTTAATTTGGTAGACCCATGTACATGTATGGATGACACTATATGTCCTACATCAACTGTCCGCATTTTTATCATGATATATGAATTACATAATTATGAAGTAAAAATAAATTCTGAACAGAAATATTTTTCTGTCATGTTACTTACTCTAGATCTAGATCTATAACCACATTTTAACAGGACACAATTTGTATAACTACCTGTGTGGATGGCCCATCTCTCAAAGAGATCCGAGTCTCTGTCCCGGTTGAAACAGTTATGAGCTGCATGTTTCCAGGAAATCCGGAAAATCCTTTCGCGGCGGTTCTGCCAGGAGAGACCTGGTACATTGTTTTTATCCAGCAGGTCGATCATCCATGGCCTCATTTTCTGACGTTCGACCGGTCGCACCGGACGTCCACTAAGGAGGTCCTCGACCGTCGCCCTCTCGTCTGCGGTCAGCTGACTCTCGTCCACATTCCCAGCCCACTCTTTATTGATGATCTGTTCGATCAACCTCTGACGAATTTCCGGATGAATGTTAAGCTTCTGGTCTGCTGCCACCTCTTCACTTTCTTCTTCTTCCTCTTCCTCCTCCTCCTCTTCTTCTTCCTCTTGTTTCACGATTATCTGTTTGACTTCAGTTTTCCGAGGCTCCCTCGGCCGGAGCCCCGCTCTCGTCGAGGTGTCCTTCATTTCTGCGGGTAAAGTGATTGTATCCAAGGTAACAGGTTCCCCTTCGTTCATACCTCCTTGTGCAACTTTTATAACGATTGTGTAAGACTCCTCTGCTCCAGATTTCTTTTCCTTTGATTTACCTTTAGTGCCTGTGGACTTGGTTTTGGCCTTCACTTCCCCTTGACTGGGAGGAGCTGTCACTTTTGGCGGGGTCTCGACTACTGTCTCCTCCTCAGCCACAATTTCATTGAATTCAATGTCCATCACCTCGACTGACTCACCAGACACGCTGTTCGACTCTTCCTCACAAACTGTTTTAAGTTCCTCAGTCGTTTCCTTTTGGCCCTCTGGCGTTTCACTCGTTTCTGAAACCACCTGAACTTCACTCTCGGTCTCCATAGCTGTTATATCAGAATTTTGGCATTTATCAGAAATAGTCTCAACTTCCACCTCCGTGTCCATATCCGGGGCTACTTCGTTTTCATCTTCATCATTCACCTGCTCCGACTCTACCTCTGTCGAACTTTGACCTTCCTTGGTGTTGTTCACTGATAGTGTTTCATCCTCTTTACACTCGCCCTCTTTACAATTGTCTTGAGTTGTCTCCCTTTCCGGATCTTCTTTCGATTCTGTGTCCGACTGTTTGACAGAATTCATCTTTTTCTTCACTTTGCTCATATCGTCTTGAGCTGGTCCAATCTGAATGAAAGTGACAAGATATATTTGTTAACAAGCATTTATAATTAACAGAAAGTCTATCTTTACTGAAATCAGTACCGGGGAACTTAATCACCAAATCAGTGGAGAATTTCATTTTTAAAGCGCTAACATGTTCGCATATTTTGAAACTTCTAATAGCCTAATTCTATAAATTTGTATTATCATGGTTAATACATACCTAGCTACTTTCCCAAGGTATCATTTAAATTATTTTGTACATTAAGCTATAGAAATTGTTCTCAGCAGTAAAAAATATTTTTTGTGTAAAATTCTGAATATTCTAAACTTTTATCCACTGTAACATGTTAGTAATACTCAAAGTGAACTCAACACATATTTATGTTATTTTCAGGACAGATTTTGTATTGGAAGAGGAATCATATAGATTATCAGAATTAAGACCTTTCATGAATGATCATCGATTATAATCGTAATAAACCAACTTCAGTTATTTCTTCTGAAAACGATCAGTGTTGAAGCATATATATGGTTTGGTCAATGATAAATCTACATACGAGTCCGGAGTCCTATACTCACAGAATTTTGATGGGACTCGTAGAATTTCTGGAAATGTTTAAATTTAACACTGTACTGTGGGGCCCATTTTTCAGCAATACAGTTGAAAAGGACCCATGAAAATAAATTGGTAAAGCGTCTGTTAAAAGTTTGGAGGGTCCCGACTTTGAAATTTTAATGAACTTTTTCGACTATTAGTCAATTAGGCGAATAAACCATCTAATTCATGTTGATATTTGTAAAAATATTTGAGCATTTCATGATTTTGAGCCTATCTCCTTTCCAAATACTAATAACAGGTCAGCAGCTGAAGTTTCCCAATATTCAATTCAAGCTGCTGTGTTGCAATTGGCCCGGCATCAGCACTGGCTTACTGTAACCCTTTCATCCCTTTGTAACTTGAGTAGACTCTACCATGCATTGATCTGGAAGTGTATATTATGGTCTAGAGTGGTAAAAGGGTGAACTGTCTAGTCAGCTCATGGCCACTGAGGACTATCAATGACAGAGAGTCAGGGTTGGAATATTGGAGAAACGTAACTGCTAAATGGTATCAGGTTTTATTTTACAGGACTAGAAATTGATTTTGAATATCATGTCTATTGGGGTTGGAAGTTTCCAATTCAAACTAGTCATTTAATCAATATTATTCAACAAGAAATAACATGCAATTTTAACTTTGGACTAGTCCATCGGGCTAGTGGATTTTAAAACCCCTAGTCCAGCTGGAGACTCCACTAGTCTCAGACTATCAGGCTACCCTTATTGTCTGGTCCTGTGTTACTAGTCTCAGACTATCGGGCTACCCTTATTGTCTGGTCCTGTGTCACTAGTCTCAGACTATCGGGCTACCCTTATTGTCTGGTCCTGTGTCACTAGTCTCAGACTATCGGGCTACCCTTATTGTCTGGTCCTGTGTCACTAGTCTGACTATCGGGCTACCCTTATTGTCAAGCCCTGTTTTATTTGTTTAAGCAGCTCACAACAAAAACAGAGAGAACCTTACAATGTATTTCTTCAAAATGACTTAATTCATTATTGGTTATATATATATTTAGTTAATTGTATCTAATGATCGATAATACAATTTTAACCAATTCCCAGCACTAGCACAAGCACTACCAAAACTGCGGTAAATTGCAGAAAAAATCAGATTCAGTTGGAAGAAAGAAAGTTAAATTAAACTCTCCTTCGGCACGTCCCAAATATTACGCCAAAAACATATAAAAGTTCTAGCCTTCCTTTCAAAGTCCTTTTTTTGTGTATATTATTATTACCTTAAACACAGAAAATCAGATATTGGCAATTCAAGTCAGACAGACCTCACAATAACACACACAATAGCATTATTATCGGATATCCATCATTAGACTTGGGCTGCATGCAGCTGCCCATATATAGGTGGAACCAGCTATCTGTGTGATGGCCATGATACAGAGTTAAGAGATTTTGTTTTTAGTGACTACAAGTATCAGTGAATATTTTTAGCTGTGGATTGCTATGAATACCATACACAGACTTTGATAGATGTTCACAATATAAACCAATTTTAAAATCTGTTTATTCAGTAAACAATGGTACATATTCTTATCTGCAGGCCCGATACCTACTGTAACAGAAAAGATATAGTTCTGTTTTTCCAACCTACAATCCCTGACTTCATTGCATTTTGCAACTGTTGGGCACTCTTGTTACCACCAGGGAGTAGAAGCCGGAGTAATACAGACAAATTTTGTCCAAAGTTAGTCGCCTGTGTACCACAACTGTCATGGCGGAGTTTGAAGTGTGTGTGTAAATTGCGAAGCGTTAAATCACAATGCAATTTCAACATGATTAAAAGGAGGTACAAATTTGAAACCCTCTGGAATTTACACTATGGCTGTGACGTGTTCCTCCAGGCATCCAGACAATATGATGCTTCTGCGACGTCAATAGGATCTACTGGGTGTGTGCCAAACAAGATAAACCCTGTTCTTGTTTGTCATCCGATGTCGTTGGTTTGGACTTAATTGTCAACGTTGTCCCCATTCAGCTTATCTGGCACCATTCTTTCTGACACTTACATCTCTAATAGGGGTCAATACGTCAAGAGTGTCACAATACGTCAAGAGTGTCACAATACGCCAATACGCCAAGAGTGTCACAATACGCCAAGAGTGTCACAATACGCCAAGAGTGTCACAATACCCCAAGAGTGTCACAATACCCCAAGAGTGTCACAATACGCCAAAAGTGTCACAATACGTCAAGAGTGTCACAATACGTCAAGAGTGTCACAATATGCCAAGAGTGTCACAATACACCAAGAGTGTCACAATACGTCAAGAGTGTCACAATACGCCAAGAGTGTCACAATACGCCAAGAGTGTCACAATACGTCAAGAGTGTCACAATACGCCAAAAGTGTCACAATACGGCAAAAGTGTCACAATACGCCAAGAGTGTCACAATACGCCAAGAATGTCACAATACGCCAAGAATGTCACAATACGCCAAGAGTGTATCACGAAATATTGCAATACAGAATGAATATATTGCGATATATGTATCCTGATATAGTGTCATAGGAAGGATGTGCTCAATTTTATAATAAGTTATAATTATATGTCAGAATGTTATCAAACTTAAACATATATATTAAATATGAATTACATAGATTTAAAAAAATTCTCAAACCAACCATCGATTACAAAGTTTGAGCTATTAAAAGCCTGCTATATGTGTATTGGTATATCTGTTAGAATTTGTAGTAATTTGCAAAGTTAAAACTCAAAGCACGGCAAGCAGATACATAAAAATATGCTTTTGAAAAATGTTGCAATACAGTAATATTTCATCTCTGTATTTGTGGTACGATACGATATATACCAGTGTATTGCGATATACCTGTTTTCCGATATATATTTTGACAGCCCTATCTACTACCACTGAGCTAATGTACTTATATAAAGGAAAATTCCCTAGATAGCACGAACCTAGAAGGCAACCTGATCCTATGTAGAATTAAAATCTGTCACACCTATGAAAGAACAAGAGGCCCATGGGCCTAAACGGTCACCTGAGTCTACAGTATTTATTTTTGTTGTTGAAATATGTACCAATTTGAGTAAAAAATAGTATAATGTTAACTTAACTTTGTCAGGACCATGAGCTGATCATTCCTAGACCAATTTTAAGTGAGATCGGCCTATTAGAACTTAGTAGCAAAATAGCGGCCATGGCAGCCAAATTGTATTTCTGATTGACCCGAAAAATAACAACACTTTGTCAGGACCATGA